TAACAGAACAAAAAATAACTGGTGTACACAAGACAACCAAGATCTCCCAGAACAAAATAATAACAAAGGAGAAAGGAACAAGAAGATCCTCACAGAGCTATTGAGAACTTAGCAAGAAGGAATCAACTCCCTTTGTGTGTTCCCTACTAGGGTTTATCGGTGATAAAATCTTGACCCCTAGAGAGTTATTTCATACTAGGAGATTAATCAATGAAGTTTCAACCGATGACGATGTAAATCTAACCGAAACTCACCACAACAGACCAACAGAAGCCTGCAAGATCATAAAACAATCTTGCAGTACCAGGATCTAAAAGATAAAACACAGATATTCGTTTCGATTTTCAGAGGAAAACCCTAAATCGAAACGAATAATCGATAAAATCACAGTTTATGAAACGATTGTCACAGATGTTATTCGATCTAAGGGTTTCTTTCTGAACTCTTAGTTTTTTGGCTAATAAAATGTGACAATCGAACAAAAAACTAGAAAAGAAAAGAAGATTCAGAGAATACCTCAACGATCGAGAGAAGAACAAGTCTCAACGAGTGTCGTAAGAGTAAAATCGGAGCCCGATCGCTCTGATACCATCTAAAAAATGTAAACAACTCAAGAACTTCCCAACATCATCATTTCATTCAGTATGAAACAGATGGTTTACATCAATAGATTACACTTGAAACCTCACTACATATCACACTCACACTCATATTTACATCTAAACTAGAAATTTGTACATCAAACAAGATATATGAACAAACACTAGATAGAAAACCCTAATCTATAGATGAGAGAGATGAGAGAGTATATGAACACAAAATGTGAAGGAAAATGAACTGAATAAATCTGAACACTCTGCTACCACAGTTAAATACATCGAGTAGAAAGACCCATGAATATAACCCGAAGTCCGCGTACAAACCCGACATCCTGCATGAAAGATACCAAACACACCCCCACAAATATATACATATACACAACTCACCCAATAATCTATAAATTAATGTCTAAGTTTGAATATGTTTAATTACAACCTTTTAACATAATATATTTTTGAATTGTATCCGTTTTTATATAAATCAGTCTTCTTTATAAGGCCAAGGTAGTGAATAATGCTTCATTTCATTCTTACAAACTTTTTTTCGATCACTTATGTCTCTCAAAGGGATTGACATATGTGAAAAAGAGTAAAAGACTATTATCTTTTTAGAAGATAAAAGATATAATTACATATTCACATGAAATATATTTGTGTGAAGTTGAAAAACGTTTATAACCTTTAGCTTTTAAAGTTTTTCTTATTTTTCGATTAGTTTGTTATTAATAAAAACGTATGCATATTTTTTTTTAGTTTTGTGAAGTTAGAAAGACATTTATAACCTTTTAGATTTTAAACTTTTTTTTTCTATTTTTCGAATTGTTTTTTCTGAAGTTTATTTTATTGGCATTTTTTTTTCGATTTGTGTGTCTTATTTTTATTTCATATGTTTTTTTCAATATGTGTTTTCCGGTTTGTTTTGTTTTGGATTTTGTTGTTAGGTTGATTAATTTTTTTGAATTTTAACATAATTCTTATTGTTTTTCGGAAGGTCATGGTTTTCGAAGATTGTAATGATGGTGGTGGATCGGCGGTAATGACTCTGGTATGGTTACGGGTAGACGATGATTTCATCTAATTTAATTTTATTTTGATAATAAAAATACATTTTCGCATTCAAAGCTTAAAAAACTACACAAACTTCTTTATACGGACTGTATATTTTTCATCCACATCTTTTTCTACAGATATGGAAAAAGACGGAAAACAATTATCTGTTTAAATCAAACACCACCATAGTAAACAAACATGATTTTTTTTCTTTTTCAGTAATGTTTCATTTCATTACCTCTCCAATCACTCGATACCAAATATTAACGTATCTTTTTTTAAATAAGAGGCTTTATGCTTGATTACAAACGTGCATAATGAGAGTTCACACATATGCTTTCTACAATGAGTTATGTGCAGTGTAAATATACATGACATCTTGAATATAAGAAAACAAATTACAGTATTACTTAAGATGTATCAATACACTTATATTCTTTTTATGTTGATTTCATACTAATATATCTATTATATCTTTATAAATATCTAATCTTATTAGAAAAGAAGACATCATCATGAACAAAAAGAATGACTTGATTGTGCCTCCTCCCTGATTTTTACAATTTTGTATTTCTTGGGATCTTTTCATTGCTTCCATCCAACAAACATCGATTTTCTCTTGTGGTCGATAATAGAAGAGCCTTTTGATACATGAATCAAAACATCCCCAGCTTCAACTCTATCCATGGACCACATTTACCAAAGGCGACTAACAGTTTTTTCTCATCCTCTTCTTAAATCGTTTCCTTAAGTAGTGGATAAGAAAGAAGCAATTGTTGCATTCGATAGAAAATGGTTGTAGTAATCCAAACAAAAATGATACATGACAAATATATCAAATGACAAAAAAAAAAATCAAAATTATATAAAAGAAAATGAGTTATTGCAACTTAACTTCTTCGTTGGATAATACCTTCATTGGATATGTTAGCAAAGGGGAATATAATAACCAAGAAATGTTTGGTAATATATTATATATACAAGTAAAGTAAAAGTACGAAATGTCTTATAACCTAAAAACCATATAAAATAACAAAGAATCAATTGGTTACAATAAATACTATAACAAGAAAAATTAAGGTTTGTTAAAGAAGTTTATGGGCTGCACAAAGGCTTCTGGGCCCAATTAAATAAGCTGGATTGCGTCGTTGGGCTACCAAGACGCTGATGGGCTTGAATTGGTGGGCTGCATTATCGTAAGAATAGGGCTGATTGGCAGATGGGTGGTGGTGAGGATTTTTGGCAATGTGGTGTTTTGTTCGATCGAAAATAATATGTAGGGATATAATAAGCTTACAAGAAGAGGGAGTGTAATGAGAAGATGGATATCAAAGGCATGTAAATGTGTGTAGGTAACATATTATATCAACCATGAAATATGTGTTGTGCTGCGATAAGTTGTGGGTGACTTGGTCGATTAGGATTGCATCACTTATGTCTTTATCGTGAAGGATTTACGGACATGGATCCTATGATGATGTGAGGTGAAATAGTAAAGTGATCCACTCCCCTTATTTTTCAAAGCAAAATCCCGATTGATTCTTGCAGAAACAAGAAAATCAAAACAAGTTACTGACACTGATATCTCTTCTATCCTTATCACCAGCTCACCTGAGTATGTACACAAGACATTGTAATCCTTACAACATGCGATGGATATAGAGGTGGTGGTTGTAACAACAATCATGGTGGACGAGGACGGAATGGTCGATGACAATCATATCCCACTAACAGTAGGCAACAACTTTTACCCAAGATCCAAACATGCCAAAGGCTGTAGGGAGTGGTAGCGTCCTTAGTATGCTGTCACATATGATTTTTTGAAGCCACATAGGATTGATAGAATGGTAGCATCTAGATAAGGAATGGTAGCATTTAAATGTTGAGTTGTTTTTATTTTGAAAAAAAAAATGAAGCGGGCCAATGATTGCACTTTCTTTACTATTTCCTCTTCGTGCCCGACCAGCCAGCCATCTTTAGCAATGCATCTAGCGAGTTCAATGGGAGTGGTGCAGAGGCAGAGTATCTTTAGGGCCAGGAAAGGCTATGCCTCCCCTCCCCCCCTTCCCTTTTGTTTTTTTTCTTAGAAGTAATCATAGTCAGATAAAATTTACACAAATTAGGCCCAAAATTAAAATGTTTGGATTGGCTCCACTCTCTCTGAAAGTCCAAACTCCGAACCAAAGTGATCGACCCTTTGACCCTCGATCACCCGCTCCATCCTTCGATGTTCACGAACCACTTGTCCACCTCGGCACCTCTCAATCGGCAATATGCAATCACCACAGACAGATCCACCTCTCACCTTCGCGTTGGAATTGATCAGGTATGTTCAATGTTCTCTCTTTTCTCTTCTCCATCAGACCATCATCCCCATTCCCTCAGCCCTTCTGATTAAGTTTAACTGATTTGTATCGTCAATTCTTGATAATGAATGTCTGATTTTACTTGCCATACTCAATTACTTGCTTCAAATTACTTATTTGCTTGTTGTTGGACACACATTGTTAGTTAAATAATTAAATTTTTGGTTCAGTGAACCCATTTGCATGAACACATTCTTAATATTAACGAAAATAGAGTAGAAGGCCTTCAGATTGTTTTGAGGTTCTTATTAGTGGTTGGGTGCGAGTATGGCTAGCGAGTCACTCCCTTCAACCTAATAATAGTGGCCAGGCCCATCTTAACAAACCTTCTAGCCTTCGCACCTTGCCCACACCCTTCAAATAGAAGGACTTGTACAATGGATCCCGAAATTCTCAGAACTGGACCATAACAAGCACATACCACCTACACGCCTACATATATCGACTATGTTATGAACACTCTTACGTCAAACGGTGATGCAATGTATATGGATATTGGGGCTACCTCCCACACTGTCACAAGGTAAATTTGCGTCATATCTATACTAAATATAATATTACCGTAGTCAACGGAGATTCAATTCCAACACGAGGTATCGACCATGTTTCTATTCTTCCAAACGCCAAGTTAAAAAAAAATGTCGTTAGGCTAATATATGAATCCTAAATAAGAAAGTGTGACGATTTGCATCCAAAAATAACGAATCTAACTCAAACATGTTAATCACACTTATTTTAATCATAACTATTAGTATAAACATAAAGCTTCATGTAAAAAACTGTGAACTCAAAATATTTAAATTAATTAAGTGTATTATTATTATTATAAAATTAAAAGTAAAAAAAAAAAATTACTACATTGATCGAAAATATCGAATCGTTTAAATGACACCCACATCCACAATCATTAAGCTTAGCGTTGCCCGTTCACTTTTATATAATAAGGTCTGGTTAAACCTCTTGCCAACACATTCAGAATTCAGAAATGCAAGTAAAAATGAGCAGCGATCATCAACATACTCGTGGCTTCCAGCCACCATGCACCGTCGAAGAACTCCACCGCCAACCACCTTCCTCCACCAACGGAAACAACCACCCTGATTCCACCACACTTCGTCTTCCCCACACGTCATCTCTAATGGCGCCTGTAGTTGTAACTAACGACCCAGAATCACCAATCGCCGACGTTCATGGTGGTGGAATCTTTACCATCCCCACAACTTCTTCCCAAGATGCAGTAACAGACACCACCACCATCACCGTGATCAATATCCACCACTCACTCCGCCTATCAGACACCAATTCATCAAGCAATCAAGATTCACCAATTACAATCATCACCACACCTCCCAAGGTCCCGGAGCCACCAAGAAGAAACATCCTACTTCGCCGATCACATTTCGATCCAATTACATCTGATTATCAAGATCCCGAGAAAAACAAGTCGCCGCCGGCAAGAGTTTCCTCGCCACCAAACTCAAGAACATCGACGCCAGGGTCTTCCACCCGTAAACAAATCCCTCAATCGATGGTTTGTATCTAACTTGTTGAACTGTATTTTCTTTGTTCGTAGGGTTATAAAAAAAGCTGACTAAATCTTTCTTTAAAACAGTTGAGAAAAATGAGCGATAAAGTTAGGGAGATTAAACAAAGATTTTGGGATGTTATACGTCAATCTGAAGAACATGTTGAAGACGACAACCCCCATCAGGTATGTCATCTGATTCAAGATTCAAGATTACGTCACTCTTAATTTTTTTTTTTAATTGATTTGTGAAGTACATTAATTGTACGTATTTAATTAGGCGATGGTGGATCATGAAAAAGATGAATATCTACTTCTGGAGAGACTTGACGATGGTGGTTGCCTTCTTCGTTGGTCATGTGGGAATGGAAAAGGAATGTGCATGGATGTTGTGTTCTTTCTCTGTGTATTTCTAACATTTTCTGTCATTTTCATAATAGGGTTAACAATTTGCTTTATGCTTTTTTCAATTGTTTTTCGATACGTGTTTCACACATTGCATTGAGCCATTGATTGAAAACTAAGAGCTCATGGAGTTCTCCACTTGCTTCTCAACCATGTAACATATGCATGTATAATTGTTTTCTGCATCATTGTTTGTAAATATATAATAGCAAACCGATTGAATGAATAAAAAGTTGAAATTTGCAACGATATGTTTATAGTAAATGATTTTAATATAAGTTCGATTATCTTGTCTTAAGTCAATGAGTTAAAATATTAATGGTTAATTCGCAATTTACTTAAAATATGTGCCTGAATGTTAGAAACAAAGAACCAAGACCTTGAATACTTTTGTTTTACACAAAAAAATTCCTAAATAGCTACGGAAAATTGCTACGGAATCAAAATCCATAGCGATTCTACTATCGAATATGCTATGAAATGGATTGTCGTAGCTATTTTGCAACAGAAATAGCTCCGAAATTGTATTTTGTAGCTTAATCATGAATAGCAACGGAAAGTTGCAACGGAATCAAAACTTGTAGTTATTATATGACAGAATATGCTACGGAATGGCGGGCCGTATCTATTTTGCAACGGAAATGGCTACGAAGTTGCATTTTCGTGGCTAAATCCCGAATCGCTACTGAAAATTACTACAGAATCGAAATTTGTAACTATTTTACTACAAAATATGCTATGAGATTCTTTGTTGTAGCTAGTTCGCTACAATACTTGTTACAAAATCTATATTTGTGGGTAGTTGGCTACAAATTTTGCTATGGAATCAAAATCCGTAGATAGTTGGCTACGCAATTGAAATACGTAATTATTTTGTTACAAAAATGTGCTACACAATAAAAATATGTAGCAAATCTGCTACGGAATTGGCTACGTAAAGGTTGACCATAATAAATTTATATATTCCATCAATCCTAAACTTAAACCCAAATCACATTTGATTTCCTCCTCATTCCTTAGTTCCCCCCCCCCCTCGGGTACCCAACTCAACGCTCATTTCCACTTCCTTCATTATCGATCGGACTGTACTCTACGTCCTTTGTAGTGCAGGGAGCTCCTTCCTCTTGTCTGATTCATCGTTTGCTGCCTGCTTCGTCAATCGGTTGGTATGCTCCATTAATTTTTTTTTATTCCATCAATCCTAAACTTAAACCTAATTCCCCCAAAACTAATTCCTCCTTCCTAAAAGTGATGTTGTTCTCGACCGGTGATCCTCGTCGCATTCGTGTTCACTTTGCATCGTCATACTCCTCGTCGCCACTATTGTTCTCAACCGTCTTCGTCCTTACTAGTCTGTATACACATCTTCACGATTAAGTCAATTTCACTCCATTAATGTTGCTCAGGCTTGAAGAAAGTCATCCCCAAGAGTCACAAATGAATTCGTCCAGAAGGCTGTAAGTGATGACACCTGCATTCTCAGGCCTCCCTTTTGAGAGGCTCAGACCACCGTCGTGTCACCAATGTCAGTGCCAGACTGGACGCCAATAGAAAAAACTCAACTTTCCAATCCTCCCAACCACTATTGGCTCTTTCCCACAAACCATCGATCTCAGGAGAGTTCGCCGTGAGTACAAGGCTAAAAAGTGAGCAATTTGTATACTTTTATATAATTTAACACCAGTTTTATTTGCTGGATTGAATGACATAAAGGGACGGATACAGGGTGTACAGTTAGGATAATCGAAAAAAGTGATAAGAAAAAGGGAAGAGAAGTCATGCACTTCAAGTGTTCGACGAATTGCTTAAGAGAATAGTTTTGCTGGGTTCAAGTACTAATTACTCATTTTCTTCATACTTTCTGAGTTGGATGTCCCTATGAAACTATCATCATGGATCATAGTTACTCCTTTGTGCTCTACTACTATACTCAAATAAAGAATGGGTGAATTTTGAGAAAAAGATGATACACTCCTCAATAATGGGTGAGTTTCTATGAAATCAAAAAATGGTGTCACAAAAAAGAAAATCCTTTCTCCATAAAAAAATGATGTTTAACTAGCTTCTACTCTTCTTTTTCTTTCATAACATACCATTTTTAGGTGGAAGTAAAATGTTGTGGTTTCTGTTAGCAGCTAATATTTTGTGTTTTCTTGTTGGGTTTTCAACAAATTCTCTTCAAAGATACGAGTTCATGGTTTACGAGATGTTTGTTTAAGAATTAAGTCATACATGATTGTTTATTTTTTGGGGTTTATTAAAAAGAAATTAGCTTAAAAAGTAATCTATTAAGGTTTTAGGTGTTGATCATAAAAATGACCAAAATGGGTGGACGTTGTAAAAAGAAAACCATATTTCCAAAGTTTCTTATGTTGGGGACCTTGCCAGTCTGCCTCATTATATTTTTCATGTGCTTACACACCACATTGAATAGTATTTGAACATAAAAATAAATTTGCTTGATGTGGCTGACAACATTGATCCATAATCATGTTCCTCATTGTTTATCAGATCAGATTCTATGGGAAAATACCTTATAAACTATACGTCTTTTCACAAGAACATTCTTCTATAATGACTTACTTTATTCTCGTGTTCTCATCTTAGTAGAAGAGTTTTGACCATGTGTTCCTGCTAGTAGCACTACAAGAAAAATGACTTACAGTCACACCAAAAAAGTGTGACCATATGCGTATAGTGACATTTTATTTTTTCACTGAAAGTGTGACGGAAAGTGACGCCATCGTATGGGTCTTATGGTCACTTTAAAATGTAGTGTCCGTATGATAAGAAAACATGTGGCCGTATTATAAAAGTGTGGCAAATGTGTACGGAATTTTGTTCCTTAAATATCCAATATTGTAGCGTTAAACCATCAGTAGTCACATTTATTTAGTAAATGTGGTAACTGTATATCACCAACTTGCGACATTCATGATGTTTTAGTGTAGTTGTTTTCTTTTATATTGTCACACAGTTTAAATTTTATTAAGACTATTGTGTATCTTTTGTAAACATGTAATTACGATGAGTGTGACCATGTTTGCTAAATGGTCACATGTAATTACTTCCATAAGTGGCGAATTGCTAATTATTAGTCACAACAAACAATCAATTTTTGTGACTATAACCTATCGTATAGAGACACACAATTAAGTGAAATACAATCATAAGTATTATAAAGACACACATTTTGTTAAAATTAAGGACTATTCGGTATCGTATTAAGACTATTGGGTATATTTTAGACACATATAATTACGGTGAGCATGTCCATGTTCGGTAAATGAACACATATAATTAATGATGTAAGTGACGATTTGCTTGTATTTAGTCTCAACAACAATCAATTATGGTATTTATTTGCCACATAAATTGTTTTTCATGTTGTTTTTGTTTAACTTAGTCACAAAAATTTTAGAAAAAACATCATCTTAAAACAACTGTAGACTCATAATTCTTGTATATTATGGCTATTGTTAACCATTTAGCCACACGTTAAAAAATGATGTAAAGTAACCAATGTATAATTTTAGAGACATTGAAAACCTATAAAACATGGCCAAATTTATATTAAAGCCACAATAATTCAATTTTTATTGTTACTTTTTCTATATTGTAGATACATCAAAAGAATATATATAAATGAAAGTAACCAAAACCGACAATATGAAACAATATCAAAATTCAGAATTGGATATTATTAATAATTGAAATCCAAATCCATACATTAAATTCATAATTAAAATACCAAAAAAATGAAAATTGTACTAATTGCAAGTATTAAAATACGATAAATAAAGCAAAAACATCATAAACCAAAAACTAGACATAACTAGGCATTCATCTTGTTGGTATTGGTCCTTGTCTTCATGAGAAGGCTATTGCTCGATATAAAAGTTTCCTTGCGCTTCTTTGAGTTTTGAAGTTAATTGTCTTGAGGTGATTTTATATTTGATACCTATACCAACAACAATGAAACAAAATTGAATAAATAAAAGACATAATAGAGTACTTTACGAAGGAAAAAAAATCATTAATGTATGATTCTTAATCATAGTAGAAACAAGGGAGTTAAAAACTTACTATGTTCCGACAATTCGATTGGTGTTTACTTCAGTTTGATCCACTCCAACAATCCTCAACAGACCAAAATCAGAAATCTTAGGGTTCATATCAAAATCCAGCAAAATTTTGCTAACCTTCAGATCACGATGAATGATTCTTAATCTTGAATCTTCATTTAACTAGAAAAGTTTCCCCATGCTCTGCATGGGTTGGAGTATTCAAGTTCTTCGGACGTCATTGTAGTTTTTTTGGGGAGTGAAAGTGGAAGGTGAAATAATTGACGAAAACTATCATATATATAACATGGTGAAAATAGATATTAGCATTACATAGGTTGTTCATTTACATACTATTCTGGTTTTTGTAGCCTTTTCTGGAACTACAAGGAGATCAAAAAATTCATGAACCATTTGCATACTTCTCATCATTGAATAAGAAAAAACCTGGCATAGATTCCAGCCCAGCAGTTGGAAATTCAATCTCCTGTGGTTGAAAGTTGTGGAGTACAAACTCCATAGAAACTATAGACATGAAATTTTTTGCATCTTCCGTCTATAAATAAGAATAAGTAATGAACTAACTCACCATCAACTGTATTTCATCATTCAAAGCTATTTGAGTTGCTTCTTTTGCCTGTTAATCACAAAGTTTAACTTTAAATTTTAGATACTTTATTGTTGTTATGAATCTATGTCAAAAGAACAAACACATTTTAAGCACTACTGTTGACTATACATGACAATTTGATCAAATGGAAACATTTAAATGAAAAAAAGCATAAAATAAAACTAAGTCCAGGTTGACTGAACAATATTCAGTCAACTTTGTAAAGGGAAAGTTGAAAACAATAGAACCAAAAGGCCATTTCAAAGAGGAAAGAATGAACAACTTACAAGAAGCTGGTATTATTCTGCCTCACAGAAAAGCTTTGAATAATATTATGTGTCCCACAAAAGATCTGAACACTTTAAATCTGAAAAATTAGGAACCCAACCATCTCTTGACCAATTTAAAATATTTCGAAAGTTCCAC